AAAAAATATATATATATATATATATTTTTTATTTTTTTTTATTTTTTTTTTAATAAATATTTATATTTTAATATATTTTAAAAAGTCTGTGTACATGGAGTCAGAACTCCATATATCCTTGCATGCTATATTGCAATATTATCATGTTATACCGTTTATCTTGTTAGATTTGTGAAGGAATCATTGTTTTGATTCAAATCTTTTCAATTGATTCAACTCACAAGACCGGCCTCAACAATTCATTCATGAATCCAGTTCAATGTACAACGATTCCACAATTCAGTGACTCTCCCATGCAATTACAATGGTTAACGATGTTGTAATGATTATTAGTGTCGAAATGATTATTATTGTTTTCACACAACAGCCTCATTCTTCATTCACACTTATTATACCAACATTGGGTCTCATTCACAAATTGCGTAGATTATTCGTATTTATATGCACATTCGAACTTCTCATGAAAACGTTTTGCCTAATTCACAATACGTGCGTACGCACATTAATTTGTTCTTAAATGTGCCTAATATTAGTGAATTCGGAGCATTCTAAATGAGTTGCCACGTGCACGAGGTTAGTCATTTGCATAAAACATGCCCAGACCATCTCCATATAAGGGCTTTCTGCACACGCTTTGCTTTACAGCCTTTCGTCACTCTTGTCAAAGATGCTCCACACAACCCCATATGACGCACTCTTCAGACGTCTTCAGACGCCCTCTTGCCAGATCGTTGAGCAATGCCAAGTGCGCAGTCCTCAAAATCAGTTCACACACAATTTTTATACATTTATACAGAACCAGTTCACGGAGGTCTCATTGGCCGGCTATACATGCGCTGTTATTCAGAGAAACCTATATAGTCTAACAGTCTAACGCAGCTTTTCTTATCTTTCACTGTATATGATTAAATCATCTTATGACGAAATATAGATTTATTGTAATTATGTATAATGTATAACTATTATCCTAAGATAATAGGTTCTGTGTAATAAAATGGAATGACCCAGGGGAAAAGTATTGAAAATGCTTAATGAAATGTATTTAATACTTTGTACAAAAGCCTTTGTTGGTAATGACAGCTTCAAGACGCCTCCTGTATGGAGAAACTAGTCGTATGCATTGCTGAGCTGTGATTTTGGCCCACTCTTCCACACAAACAGTCTTCAAATCTTGAAAGTTCCATGGGCCTCTTCTATGATTTCTAATCTTTAGTGCTTTCCATAGATTTTCTATTGGATTCAAGTCAGGTGATTGGCTGGGCCATTCTAGCAGCTTTACTTTCTTTTTCTGAAACCAAATGAGAGTTTCCTTGGCTGTGTGTTTGGAATCATTGTCTCGCTGGAATGTCCACCCTCATTTCATCTTCATCATCCTGGTAGATGGCAGCAGATTTCTTTCAAGAATGTCTCGATTCATTTTTCCATTCATCCTTCCTTCAATTATATGAATTTTGCCAGTGCTACACCATGACGTTTTGGGGTGACGTGCAGTGCCATTTGACCTCCAAACAGGGTGTGTATTATGGCATCCAAAGAGTACAATTTTTGTCTCATCGGACCAGACTATATTCTCCCAGTATTTCACAGGCTTGTCTAAATGTTGTGCAGCAAACTTTAAACGGTTGAGTGCATTACTTACTTATTGAACTTATTTTATTTGAAACAATTGTACATGCTAATTCCAGGTCTTTCTGAAGCTTTCCACAAGTGATCCTTGGCTTGACAACTCTTCTGATAATAATTTTTTACTGCTCTGTCAGAAATCTTGCGAGGAGCACCTGGTCGTGACTGGTTTATGGTGAAATTATGTTCGTTCCACTTCCGGATTATGGCCCCAACATTGCTCACAGGAACATTCAGAAGTATAGAAATCCTTCTGTAACCAATGTCATCAGTATGTTTTGCAACAATAAGGTTGCAAAGGTCTTGAGAGAGCTCTTTGCTTTTACCCATTATGAAATGTTTCTTGTGTGACGCGTTGGTCATGAGACACTTTATTACAGGCCATAATTTGGAACTAAACCAGCTAATATTAATTTCCACTGACTAGGGGCAGGATTGCTTTCTAATTACTGATAGATTTCTGCTGGTGTCTTGGCTTTCCATGCCTTTTTGCACCTCCCTTTCTTCGTGTGTTCAATACTTTTTTCCCTGTGTCATTCTACTTTATTACACAGAACTTAATTTCTGAACTTATTTGTTTGTCTTTCTGTGCATGTATGGATTACTTGGATTGTTACCGACATCTGCTGAAAATTTCATGTCAACAGCACCTTTAGAAATATGTTTACTGAGAAAAATAGTGATGTGTTCAATACTTATAACAAAAAGTGAAAAATTTAAGGGGGTCTGAATACTTTCCGTACCCACTGTATATATATATAAATACACACACTGTATATATAGCTTATATATAGATTATTAAAACCGGCCAGAGTGTGATTTTTGCGCACGTGTGCTTTGAGCGGTTCCTATATTTTTTCTTAAATGTAGAATAAAGTAAGAAAGTTTTAGTGAATCATGATTTGTTCGTGAAAACGTTCGTACACAGGTTTCACACACAAATTTGTGCATACGCATGCTTAGTGAATGAGACCCAGTGTTCTTGAAACAATTCTCATCTCTGGATGAACTATCATTTTAAAGTGTAACTAGTAGCAAGCTTTATTAGCTTTATTGTTCGTGACAGTACTGTATATTTGTCTCACCTGCAGAGGGAGCTCTTTTCGCAAAACACTGAGTGCACAGCACATTTTATACATATGTGGTGGTAGCTCACAGTTTTTTTTTAACCACTGTGTTATTTTGACTTGATTTTGACTTGGGGGGGGGGGGGGGTTTTGGAAATATGAACTGAATTTAGAAATGCTTTTGAAACCAAACTTTTGTGTTTAATAAATGAAATTAAATATTGAAATGAAGTTTGGAGTGGAGTGCATGCAAAATAACCGCTGTTCCCCAAATCCAGGGCCTAATACAAGAGGCCGACACACAAAGGTTGTGACAGTCGTATCATTATATATTACTTTAACAAATGAGTAATGAGCAACACTATCAGCTATATTACACGTATTAAGCACTTTGGCGAAATAATATGCAGACGTCTACCAAAAGCACTAATAATTGCGGGTCGTTCTCAACTCTGTTTGGATGATGCCGTTTCCAAATCAAACCTATGTTGCCTCATCTTTTTTGCCCTGTATGATGCTAATCGACTAATTTTCTTGGTTGTTTGTGTGCATTATTTCTTTTTTGCAAATAAACAATAATAATAAGGCCGTTCTCCCGATGCGAATAAGCACAATACAAAATGTGGCGGGGGGAAAAACAATCTGCGTGGACACTCCAATCCCAAGAGCAAATTTCAGATGATAATGGGGCTGAATGAATGAGCAAAAACAAAGTTAACAGTCCGCCATGGCTGGCAATAAACCGAGAGCGCTCTCATCAGACTGTTTACTTCATAGGAAGAACTATAAAACAATAAGACATAAACAAGCATTCTGTCTTTCCTTAATGCTAAATTCTGAGCATAGAACATCACAAAGGGTAGAAAAGGCATTATGATTAACCATTTTCCTGCAAATATTATCAAAATGATGTGTCAGGCATATGTTTTAAATGCGTCTTTGCAAATGCAAATGCAAATGTTTCAGACTTATCTAAAGTTAATGTGTGAGTAGGAAGCAATATGTGGAATTAAAGCTGTCACTTTTTTCAAAATGTCACTGGCTGTCTGACACTTTCTTTTTAAAACTCGAAAAAACGACTATTTTTAAGTTAAAATAACACCAATAGTACCCATAGAAACTTATCTTACCCTTGAGGAAACTACAGAACTAAACTACAGAATTGACTGAAATAAACGTCTATTTCCTTTAATCTCTCCCTTCCACATTGAAGAAAGTTTCGGCAAAAACTAATTTTCTGAAGGGGGCTACCATAATTAGATATATATTTAAGGGCTTTTCCTCAGTAGAAAAGAGTCTTTGGGTGTAGAGCAAAGCAACTAGCAAAAGCAGAACGACTCACTTAAGGCAAGAGACTCGAGTTTAACTCGAAAAGGAATATTTTAATGGATTTAATTTGTACTTGCAGTGAGTTTAATGACTCAGTGCCGACGATATTTACAATCAAGTAAGGATGGAGAATAGTCCTTAAATTGCATCCACATGATCTGATTTAGAGGTAAATCAGCTTATAAATGAAGTCTAATATTTGCATCATTTCTTTCTGGCAATCTCAGCATGCAAATGTAACACAAGCAGCTAAAAGGTTGGAAACTGCTGGAATATGGAACACAGAACTTGTGCAAAAACCCAAGACAAAAACTAAAGCACAAATTAAGCCATTTTTGGGGAGGTTTTGAAAGCGTCTTTTTGGAATCAAACCGTTTTTCTTGTTGCAGTCTCTAATGGCACAGTTTTTATGAGCAACAAAACACTAGAGTAATTCTACCCAGATATGTCTCTCAAAGCAAATGTCTTCTTAAATCTTTTAATATTGAATATTAAATGTGATCACAGGTAAACGGAGAGCTCCTTGATGTTTAATCACAATTGTTATTGCAATACAGAGTCATAGCTGTTTAGAAGAAGAATGCTGTGCAAAATTTATGCATTTGATAAATTAAATGCAACCATGCAATAGAAAACACTTTGCATATATGTTTGTTATCTGTGACATGGGATAAATCAGGGATGAATTGTTCTAATATTCTAGCGCAATTGTATCTGTGGTAACATACTTTTTTTTAACTTGGTAACAGATACAATGTTAATTTTCAATGGTCATTGAAAAATTATTCCTTGAGCAGAACAAAATTGAAATGAAAGACATGATTTCTCACCTCTGCAAATGTGGTGGTCTTTTAGCCATGGGCTCATGCTCTTGTGGGGGCAGGTGTCCCCAGAAGTCAGGGAAGGCTAGGATGGAGTATCCAGCTATAGACTTTGTATTGGCTGCTGTGGCGGCATAGAGGCGTGGATCATGGTTGGGAATGCCGATCCCGTATTTCTCCAGAAGCCTGTCCACCATACTAGAGTGGCCTTCTTGGCCTTTCCTAGAGCAGTTGAGGTAATGCTTATGGAAGTCGCTCGTCTGGAGGTGGTTTTCATCTCGGTGGGAGGGCAGCTCGGAGCATCTCTGGTCACTCGGTGTCTCGTCATTCAAGTCTCCCTCCAGAGCGCTGTCATCGTCCGAGCTTTCATCGCCCTCAGAGCTGGAGTCCAAATCCTAGAAGACATGATTGTTAGAGAGAAGCTGCAAAGCTAATGTTGATTTTCAGGGGGAAAAATTTCAAAGGCATCCACAGATGTCAGCTCTCTATACTTTCGGCCACATCAGCAACTCTCAAATCAAAAGGTGTATGAGAAAGACGGCAAAAGATTACAGGAGACAAAGATTACAGTAAACATCACCCACAAGATATCCTCTTTTCCCTCTGGCACCGTCAACCGCTCAGTGCGGCACTGCAGAATAACAACCCAAAATAAACTGTGAAGGAAATTAAAGCATTTTTTAGAGACTATTGAGGGAGAAAAGCCAAAAAAGGATATGGAATTGTTTTGAGGATGCAGCCCAAAGTGGTGCACATCACTTCCAGCTTTCTATTGACTTCAAAAGGGTGATACTGACAGCAAATAGGGGCGTCCAATTACAGTCTTTGACAGGCATAAAATGAACTGTATCAAAATAGCCAAGGGCCCTAGCTGCTTTTAGAGCAACCAAATAACAATTTAAGCTCACGCCTCATGCATTTCCATAAATTTAGCGAGGAAAAAGATCAGTGGTCCAATTCCCAGGCTCTTCCCATAGGTGAATGCAAGAATGTCCAAGACTCACGATAGTCATGATGTGCTGACTGGGGAAAATTCTGCACACATCGTGGCCGATAAAAGCTTCCATCATCTGTGCTCACCTCCCTACGGAAGATCTTAGTTTCTGAACGCCGTCCTGTGTTTGCTCTGATCTTCGCCGCAGTGCACATACTGTAAAATGTATACCATCAAAGTGAATTTGTTAGATACAAAACTTTAGTACTGCACCCTCTGCTATTTCATTGCATTTAAATTGGACTTTTTGCACTCCTAAAAATATGTGTAAGCCCAAAGACGCCACAACTTCCATGAATACCAATAGCAGGGGATGCATTAATATAAATGAACCTTTGCTGTATAAAAACATCTCAGGTTTGAAGCTGTATATTGCATCTCAGGGGGCTCGCTTTGTCATCTTCATTTTTCAAAACCACAAATAACACAAACAGTGTAGCAGCACTGAGATGTTTTTTTCAAAGACTTATTTTAATCATGAACTTGATACAGACAAGTACAACAGCCCTTTTGATGAGCTCTGGGAGTGGGACTCGGGGAACGTGTGCTCGGTTGTTCCTACAAGTGGGTGAGAGGGGAAAAAGCAGAGATTCAATTCGCAAAAGGGAACGAACAAATCTGTTTGAGGTCAATTCAATTACCCAATCCACCAACCATTAAAAGCTATTCATGCCTGACGTTTTTGAAATCAGCACGTAAAATAATAGATAAATTAGCGCAATTGTGACACATTTGGGGAAGTTTTCCGCAGCTGTCAAACTCAATTCAAAATGGATATTACTGGCTAATAGGTTTGCAAATGCACAGTATCTGATTTGAGTTGCCACATTCACTGTGAACAATTCTGGAAAGTGCAATTAAAGTACTTAAACTACAATCAAGCTACTCTTATAAAAAGATATTTAAAAAAGTAGTTACACTGAAGCTATTGCATATAATACAATATAATAATCAGCATTCTCAATTACACTATAAATACAAATTTTGTATTATATTTTATACAACAGTTATTTTTGGTTATCAAATCTGATTAGCCAAGAGCCTTTTCCAGGCATGCGATATTCTAGTAATAACAGCATTTCAACCATTTCACCATTTGTATTACTCTGCTTGCGGTTTTTCAAACAGCGAGTGTCATGGCAGATGCCCAAATCCACAATACTTTTTTAGAATAATACTGTTTTTGTGTCTGTCAAGAATGTACTTGTTTAGACTTCATATATGCGGTCTGTTAATAAAGCGAATGTCTATTTGAAAATTTGCTTCAACGTTTTTGTAGATGTGAGCTCCAGGGCGTCAGCGGGCGTTCAACGCTCATGAACCCGCCGAGAGCAGCCTTAAGCCCAAAGTATACTTCGTTTTTGTATGCGTACGCTAGCATGTGTACAGTTGAATGTGTAGCCTTTCAAAGTATACTCCATTTGATATTGTGCGCGAATGCGGGCGATCGACACATGCACTCTAGAAAGCTTCATCCATGTCTAGTGTCTGTTCTGTTTTTCCCCGTTAAGTTATGACTGATACAGTAACAAATATTTTTGAACTCTTTTAAACCAAAGCTGAGCTGTCTCATACCCTCTCGCTCACAAGCTATTGTCAATGTGAGCGTCTGTTGCTGTTGCAGTCTCCGCAATTTTGTTGTTGTTGTTCCGTCTCTTTAGTTTTGTTTTCTACTGTGAAACAACGGCCCAGGACAGTGTTCAATTACTGCAAAATAACTTCATACAAAGCATACAAAGTACGCATGGTTACAAAAATCGGGTGGTGCGCGTACAGTACGTGCATACTGTTCTGATGACGACATTTGCGTCACGTGCACTGTACGCTGTCCCTCGCGTACGTGTAAAAAGTGAAGTATACTTTGGGCTTTACCTCGGCCAGATCTTCTGGAATTTACCGCTGGCACTGATGTCTCTATAGTGGTTAAACATGATAATTTGTTTTGGGTAAATCTGACGGGCAGTCATTGGTCTCATTAATCTATTATTTGTTCCAGAGCAAATAGTTTTGGCTGAGGGCAAAATCTCATCACGTTATATTTCACAGTATATAACTTTAATGCTGTACATCAGAGTGCTGCCTTTGAATTGCCTAGAAATGTTTATGATGGCTGTTGTTGTGGTTTATCAAATATTATTATTCAATAATAGTAGTATTTAATAGGCAAGGCAAGTTTTTATATAGCACATTTCATACACGATACTAATTCAAAGTGCTTTACATAAAAGTAAACTAATCATTAAAAAATAATCACAACAATAAAACAAGGAATTTAAAACTTAAAATGATTTAAAAATGTATTTAAAATACATTTAAAACCGTTAAAACTAGAAAATGATTATATATAACATACAGTGCAATTAGTTTGGACGTAGCACAGTGCTCATTCAATAAATGCACAGCTAAACAGATGAGTTTTGAGTCTGGATTTAAATGTGGCTAATGTTTTAGCACATCTGATCTCTTCTGGAAGCTGGTTCCAACTGCGGGTGGCATAATAGCTGAAAGCGAACTCCCCTTGTTTTGTGTGAACCCTTGATATTTCTAACGGCCTCGATCCTAATGATCTGAGTGGTCTGTTAGGTTTATATTCAGTTAGCATATCTGCTATATATTTAGGTCCTAGGCCATTGAGTGATTTATAAATGAGCAAAAGTACTTTAAAATCAATCCTAAATATAACTGGAAGCCACTGTAAGGACCTGAGGACTGGTGTGATATGCTCAGATTTTCTGGTTCTTGCCAGAATTCTGGCAGCAGCGTTCTGGATGAGCTGCAGCTGTCTAATGGTCTTCTTAGGCCGGTGAGGAGACCATTACAATAGTCCACCCTGCTGGTGATAAAGGCATGAATAAGTTTCTCCGAGTCTTGACTGGAAACAAAACATCTAATTCTTGCAATGTTTTTGAGATGATAGTATGCTGATTTAGTTACAGCTTTGACATGACTACTGAAACTAAGGTCTGTCTCCAAAATCACACCAAGATTCCGGACTTGATTTTTAGTTGTTTGACCCCTAGAGTCAAGGTATGCATTCACCTTGAGAACGTCATCTTTGTTTCCAAATGCAATGACTTCAGTTTTCTCCTTGTTTAACTGAAGACAGTTCTGGCACATCCAACTGTTCATTTCATGAATAATAGCATTGAGAAACAGTGTGTATTCGTGATAGTGATTTTTAATACAGTAATACAATAACCTTTTAATGAAGATGTATTGGAATTAGTAATGGAGGCTTGGGCTCAGCTGTCAAACTGAGATTTGAATCGGTCTCGGAAGGAAGTAGTTCAGCACAAAAGAGGGTTTTTAAAGACACTCCGTTGTCTCTATTTATTTACACACTTGTGCCATCAAACTGTGGATAAATGCAGTATGACATTTAGCCTATTTCCAAATCACAGTGATATTTCTATCAATTGGAAACTAAATGGTAAATTATACTGTACTGTAAATACAGTAAACTGTATTTAATACCGCACAGAGGCATTGCCTAAGGAACTGTGGCAGGAACAAAACAAAAAGACTGATTCATATTGAGTCTTGGGCTTAGTCAGCAGAGGAACTAGGATGCTGGTGTCATGCTGAATGAAATGCACATCTAATTTTCAACTCCTGGCTGTCCTGTACAGTATCACACAAAGAGTTAGAGATCAAAGGGAAACATGTTCTCCCGAGGCGAGTCCTCAGGGGAAGGGACCCTTCCGTTCTCCTCCCTCTGAGAGCGCAAGCTCCGTGCCAATCTCGCTTTCTCAGGCTTATGTTTCACAACTCAACCCTTTATCTAGCCTGCAATATTTTTGACAGCTCTGCAGTTTTACCTGTGTTCTCTTCTTCGGAATCCTAGCATGACACTATGAATTAAACCCATTTAATCATGGCCTTTGTTTTGGCCCGAAGATTACAGGTGCAGCATCGTTGTCATGCAAGATTAATAGCGGGGAACTGATTGGCATGAATGTCCTGCTGTAAATTCTTTTCATCTTGGTATTTTGCACAGCATGCATAATGCAGTGATGTGATTACAACTCCTGCATCCAATCCAGTCACAGCGTCTCCAGATCACAGTGGTATTTAATGATAATGGGAGAAATACATCAAAGACACGTACAGAGAAGGGGGGCTAGGGTGGACAGTACGGTTTGATTTATTGAGCTGAGACCAAAAGAAAACAATGAAAAATTGCATAATGAACATTCAGATTGATGCATATTAGAATCAATTACAGATTTTCAAATTTGGTTGTTCAACACTAGGGTTAGCAATCACTAAAAATAAAAACAAAAATAAATAAAATAAAAATGCGTTGTGCTGAAACCATGATATCATGCATAACAAACATTCAAATTGATGTGTATTATAATTGAGTGTTGGTTTTGAATATTTATTTTTGAACTCTTTGATACTAGGGCTGCCTATTGCCAGCCCTAGTATTAAATAAATAAATAAATGTATATGTGTATGTACAGTATCTCAGAAGTGGGTACACCCCTCACATTTTTGTAAATATTTTATTATATATTTTCATGTGACAACACTGCAGAAATGACACTTTGCTACAATGTAAAGTAGTGCGTGTACAGCTTGTATAACAGTATAAATTTGCTGTCCCCTCAAAATAACTCAACACACAGCCATTGATGTCTAAACCGCTGGCCACAAAAGTGAGTACTATATATATATATATATATATATATATATAAATAATTGAAATATATATCATTCAAATTCACAAATTGAAGTTTAAAAGTTCTGTTTTTTTTAAGTGTAAAATTCCAAAAATCTAGTTTTATACTACTTTGAGCAAGTTGAATGAATGAATGAATTTTTCCATGATGCCAGCAATTATAATATATTTAATAGCGCTGTAGTATTAAACAGAAAATGAATTGTGCATATAAATGGGACAAATAAAAGATGAGTGAGTGAATAATGACATTATCAATTTTGGGTGAACTATTCCTTTAATAACATGTCATTATGAGGAAGACGCATGTGTTTCTAGGAATTGATTGGCCTTTATGTCTAGAATTTGCAGACAGAATTGATTTAAAAAATTTTAAATTGAAACAAAAAAGCGAATTAGTAGCTCGTCATTTCCTTTGGAGACCTGAATTACAACATCAATACGTGCAGGAGGAAATGAACCAAAGAAAATACGCTTTTTAACAGCAGTAGTACATCATGCTATATGATTTGAATTAAAATAGTGGCAGCGTCTGAATAAGGAGGGAGTTGAACGTCGATGAACCGGAGGTGTGTTGACATTTCTATTAGTTTGAACTCATCCGCATGCTAAAGGCAGCTACGCAGGGATTTCTGCAAGACAGCCACAGGCGTGTTATTGTGCTGTGAGAGGAGACGTCAATCAAGACCATAGCAGTCGCTCATGATGGGAAGGGTGGTGACACATTTAAAATGAAGAGTCACACACTGAACATATTATGGAACTTGAAATGTCATCATTCATTTCTGTCAATGGCCCTACGGTTGGCTGACCCGCAGCAGGGTTAATACTAGATGGGTAAAATCTCCAGATATTCTGAAACAACCTATTAAAATAGTTTGATATTGTTTTATAATTTTTCATACATTGATTTATGATTTTAGTTCAAAATAAACTCCAAAAGGGCAAAATGCCCAGACTGAAAATATAATAAAAATAAAACAAATCTGAAAATAACCATTTTCAATGTATTTAGAGAAATATTTACACGATTCCTAGATCACTATAATGTGTTTCCATAATTTAATGTAAATGTATAGACTTAAAACGACAACATAAATTAAAATAACAACATTTATTTTAAAATAAAATAAAATAAAATATTGGCCTATAATAATATATAGGCCTACAATTTATAGCTTACACAAAGGAGAATTCAAATTCCTAACCCCTAATCCAAAATGTAATAATAATAATAATAATAATAATGATAATAATAATAATAATGTTTAAATATATAATATATAACTTAAGCATAAATTAGATTTCTAATTCACAAATTGAAATTTAAATATTCACATATTCTCATACTTAATATAATATAATATAATATAATATAATATAATATAATATAATATAATATAATATAATATAATATAATATAAATCCTACGCATGTAATGAGAATTCAAATGGTTAACTCCTAACCCAAATTGTAATAATATTATTATTATTATTATTATTACATTAGAAAAATGCAAAGTAGAAGCACAATATCCGTGGCTTCTGGGCCCAAATGTGTATATTTTAAATAACTTTTTATTTTGGTCAATATTTTGTTGAATGTTTTTTTTTTGTGAAAACAAGATACACATGAACACACACACATATTTTTCTTTGACTAATAAGTGAAAAGCTACCACATAATTATTGCGACCTCTGAGAGATGAGATGAATCATTTCCTGTGGATACTCTGCCAACAAGATGTTCCTCATTTTTCCCCAGAACTCTTCAGGTCAGCAAAAACAGGAACAAAATCACTCTATTAAGATGAAGAGTGAGGCAAACATGCCGCCGTTGTAAGGAGCCAAAGCACAAGTGTCTGGTTTTTTAAAGTGTAATGAGGTAATTTTCAGTACAAGCCGTGTCCCTGTTGTGCTCTTAAGCTGCATAGTAGTGCCGTTGCAGTAGGTATTATAGCACATCCTGCTCCCATCAAAATCTCTTACTGCTTCCACACAAGGCCCATATTCACCCCAAGTGCACTTAGAGACACTTCATATAAACTTTATCCTGGGTGTCTGCCATTAAGAGCAGTACACTCGTAACTTTCACGCCTGGCTGCAACAACTAAACCCCAGAGATGCTGACAGTTTCAAAAAACCTCTTTGAAATATTTATCCAGAGCAGATTAAAGTCAACATGAAATCAAAATTCACCCCATTTACATTCTTAATGCATGTTCTTATTGTGCATGAATTATCAGCTACGCTGTTTTAAAGATAAACCAACAGCATTTCATGTTGTCATCATCTTGAAGTTATGCATTAAAAGAATAATCTGGGTTTTATATCAATATAAGCTTACACATATATATATATATATATATATATATATATATATATAGTTTCTGCTGCAGATTATTCAAATACAGAAAATTGCTTTAAAATGCCAAGAAAAATATCATATTAGATTGCATTTCATGTATTAGTCTTTTTCCAATAAGGTATTAAATCAAAGAATATAATCTCATCTAAACACTTATGTTTTGACAAACAAAACTAAATTAAATTACTAAATTGCAACTGTCCATCTATCTTTTTTATTTTATTTTTTTATACAAAGGTAGCATCTTTTGAGGGCATCTCAAAGTTTTCCAAGTGACTGTCCAATACAATTTCAAAATGGCATAAGATACCAAGAAAAAAAAAACATTAGGTTGTATTTTATCTATTAATCTTTGAGTTAAAAAAAAAATTATCAGTACCCAAATGCCTATTTTGTCACCTGATACTAGTAAAGTAGCATCTCTTGAAAACTGTCAAATCAAATTAATACAGTAGTTGTAAAATAAAAGTACAAGAGGGCTTATATCGCATGTGGGCATATTAGGGTCACAACTAACCAACATGGGTAATTTTTCACTGTAAAAGTCACGCATTTGCACTACAGAGTAGGTATAAAGCACCATGTTATGGCAAGACGATGGGGCACAGACATGAGAAAACATGAGAAATGCATTAGCAGAATTTGAAGAGGGCCGAAGAGGAAAGCAGCACTGGTTTGGTATTGGCGTCTCAGCAGAAACGGGATTGTGAAGTCATTGATTTATGGCTGAATCAGGGGACCTATTATTGAAGTTATGTGAGAACAGGAAGTCGCTTGTGTCAGGCTCCTGTCACATGCAGAACCTGCTCTTCAATCACATTTTAGGAGGGAGAATGAATCAGTGGAATTTACGCACACATCGTTCGCTCTGTCAAAATTACGACGCAGGATCGTGATGCGTGCGTGCGTGCATGTGTTGAAGGTGCCGCTCACGTCTTCCTCCAGAACAAATCTCAAAACACTCACGTAGTCCCTGTTGTCTGGCTCCTCGTTCTCCGCGTCTTCGTCACTGTCATCTTCTAAACTGACATCTTTCAATAAGGAAGAAAGAAGGATAAACAACACACAAGACTAAGACGTAAATGTCAAGATGAACAAAATATGGCAGTTCATCTCTAAGATCAAACAGGACCTGCCCAGAGTCCCCAAGCATTAGCTCTTTCTGCCTCTGATATGTTCCCATAAAAGCAGACATCCGCAACATACACACAGACAATCATCAATCAAGCAAGATATGAAGTATAATTCAGTTGAAACAATGCTCCCCTCATAAATAAATAAATAAATAAATAAATAAAACAGAAAATAAAAATGAAAAATATCTATCTATCCATCCATCCATCATAGATAAAATAAAAATAATAAAGTATAATTTAGTTGAAACATATTTCCCCTCAAAATAAACAAATACATATATTTTTAAATGCTATTCATTCATTCAATACATATAAAATACATTTAATAAAGTATTATAATTCAGTTAAACATATTTCCCCTCAAAATAAATAAATTAATTAATTAAATTGAAAATAAAAATAAAAAACTATTAAAAATGCTAGATTTATTTGTTTATATATGTCCAATATAGATAAATTACAAAATAATGAAGTATTATTTCATTAAAAAACATTGATCTGTGTTATATATTATTTTATATTATACAGTTTATATATCATACACTCTAAAAAATGCTGGGTTGTTTCAACCCAATGTTGGGTCAAATATGGACTAACCCAACTGTTGGGTTAAAAAGCTAATTTAAAAATGTAACCAAAATTTAACCCAACAGTTGGGTTAGTCCATATTTGACCCAACATTGGGTTGAAACAACCCAGCATTTTTTAGAGTGTACAATTAGTATTATATCAGAATATCATATAGTATCAGTGTATCAGTATATATACAATTTATCAATATTATATATTATTATATACTGTATATAGCAAATACAAATATATAAATATTAAATAAATATAACAATATAAATATTTAAATTCTATATACACATTTGAACTAATTATTGATTAAATATATAATAATAATAATAATAATAATAATAATAATAATATTTAAAACACACATTTGATTTTTTAAAGGGGTCATCGAATGCCCATTTTCCACAAGTTGATATGATTCTTTAGGGTCTTAATGAAAAGTCTATAACATACTTTGGTTAAAATTTCTCAAAAACACCCTTTTTACCCTGTCAAAATTAGCTCTGCAGAAATCAACACGATTCTTTTGCATGTTGCTTTAAATGCTAATGAGCTCTGCTGACCCCTCCCCTCTCTTCTGTGGGGTGAGGAACCGTGCTCTGAGAGACTGGCCTTGTCTCAACATTTATGTTCAAACAACATGTAAAATTGAAATTAGCATCCGATGACCGCTTTAAAATTAATATTCATTTGTAGAGATAAACTGAAACTGAAATAAATGTAGTCAGACCCTCTGCTGAATACGCTTCACAGACTTTCATCTGATATGATGACTGCAGATCAGAACATAACACTAAAATCACTATAATTTTACAACCATCTCTGCTAAACCAAATGACTGGTTATCTAAAAATGTTTAAAAAATTGTGTTCACGGTATCTGATTTGGCGTGAAAGCAGAGTAAATTAACCATGTGATAAATGATGACAAGTCATATATTTTAGTGTGAGGTTGTGAAGTGATACAACCCAGTTTATGAGCGCTAATAATGTTAATGGCAGCATTGCTAACATGTCAAAACCACGTTTAAGTTTTACAAGGTAATTTGCTGTTAAAAGAAGCCACTTCATTTAAAAAAAGCTAGTCTAAGTTGGTTCAGCTGGCCTCGGAGTGCCTCAAAACCCTCGAAAACCCTCGAAACAGGCTAGGCCTGATCAGCGTGGTGGCCAGAAAGACCAGAAAACCACCATAGGCTGGTTTAAGATGTTTTTTTTTAACCAGGTTTGTACATATAACAGAAAGATGATACTAAACCCCCGCTGTAATCTCTTACATCACCTGAGGGTGTTTTCCTGTGATTTTCACAGTTAAAAACTAATACGATAGTCGAAATGCTAGAGCTACAGTCCACTCGAATCTGGGCGTCTTGAAAATGAACATCATCTTATCTGCCTGGCCAGACTGAACAGCAAATAGGCTCAGCATTACGGGGCGCTCGTGCCACATGCAACTTTCCATTTGACATCAGTAAAGAAGCTAATGTTAGCGGTTAGCATGTTAGCAACAGTGCAACAATATAAATATTTAAATTATATATACACATTTGAACTAATTATTGATTAAATATATAATAATAATAATAATAATAATAATAATAATAATAATAATAATAATAATAATAATAATAATAATAATAATAATAATAATAATAATAATAATAATAATAATAATAATAATAATAATAATAATAATAATAATAATAATAATAATAATAATAATAATAATAATAATAATAATAATAATAATAATATTTAAAACACACATTTGATTTTTTAAAGGGGTCATCGAATGCCCATTTTCCACAAGTTGATATGATTCTTTAGGGTCTTAATGAAAAGTCTATAACATACTTTGGTTAAAATTTCTCAAAAACACCCTTTTTACCCTGTCAAAATTAGCTCTGCAGAAATCAACACGATTCTTTTGCATGTTGCTTTAAATGCTAATGAGCTCTGCTGACCCCTCCCCTCTCTTCTGTGGGGTGAGGAACCGTGCTCTGAGAGACTGGCCTTGTCTCAACATTTATGTTCAAACAACATGTAAAATTGAAATTAGCATCCGATGACCGCTTTAAAATTAATATTCATTTGTAGAGATAAACTGAAACTGAAATAAATGTAGTCAGACCCTCTGCTGAATACGCTTCACAGACTTTCATCTGATATGATGACTGCAGATCAGAACATAACACTAAAATCACTATAATTTTACAACCATCTCTGCTAAACCAAATGACTGGTTATCTAAAAATGTTTAAAAAATTGTGTTCACGGTATCTGATTTGGCGTGAAAGCAGAGTAAATTAACCATGTGATAAATGATGACAAGTCATATATTTTAGTGTGAGGTTGTGAAGTGATACAACCCAGTTTATGAGCGCTAATAATGTTAATGGCAGCATTGCTAACATGTCAAAACCACGTTTAAGTTTTACAAGGTAATTTGCTGTTAAAAGAAGCCACTTCATTTAAAAAAAGCTAGTCTAAGTTGGTTCAGCTGGCCTCGGAGTGCCTCAAAACCCTCGAAAACCCTCGAAACAGGCTAGGCCTGATCAGCGTGGTGGCCAGAAAGACCAGAAAACCACCATAGGCTGGTTTAAGATGTTTTTTTTTAACCAGGTTTGTACATATAACAGAAAGATGATACTAAACCCCCGCTGTAATCTCTTACATCACCTGAGGGTGTTTTCCTGTGATTTTCACAGTTAAAAACTAATACGATAGTCGAAATGCTAGAGCTACAGTCCACTCGAATCTGGGCGTCTTGAAAATGAACATCATCTTATCTGCCTGGCCAGACTGAACAGCAAATAGGCTCAGCATTACGGGGCGCTCGTGCCACATGCAACTTTCCATTTGACATCAGTAAAGAAGCTAATGTTAGCGGTTAGCATGTTAGCAACAGTGCTAAAAACCTGCAGAAAGTCCTTGATTAGTAAGCAGGGCGGGTCGCAGGCAACACGTATCATTCTGCCGGGTATAACAAGTCAACCGCACTATTCATTACGATAAACAGATAATCATTGCGTTCAGTCTGATATCGGCCTTCCCAGCTCTCTGGCTTCCTTGTTTGAGATAAAAGCAGTGGAAAACTCATTAGTGAGAACAGCCCAGCAGGAAAACTCTTGCGTGGTGTCTGGATCTATAAGTTATGGTGTGAAAAGTGTGTACACATCAACAACAATAATCTGGACACTTGGGCTTTGGAGTATTAGTGAAGCACATGTGGTGGTGATATGTGGTAAGTACATAGAGACAGTGCACGCTAACACGCTTCACTATGCAGTATTGAGTCGAACAGCCACGATAGGCAGGGTTGCCTGGGCAACCACCTCAGAGCTCCCTGCAAAACAAGTGAATATAGACTATTGTGGGTCAGCGAAGAGCAATCTGCTGCTCTCTGGCCAAGCATGTCTTCTGCTTTTTGTTTACTGCTGCACAGGTTCTGACCTTGTTCAAAGAGAGCATTTGCATTTGATGACCTAGTCAAAAAGAAACACGTCTGCTAAAAGAGGGTAGCACGGTAGTTAATTCATGCACAATACTGCTGTACAGCATAACATGACTTCGGGAAAACGCATCTAAATCAAAATGGCCTCTGAATCTGGATTTAAAACAAGCGATTTCTCACATTGCCTGCTTTCCCTAGGACTGGTATTGACATTGGCTTCACAGCACAGGTCTGAACAATCACAGCTTACACTGTTTTAGGGAGTTTGTGTGGCTATAAAATGAAACAAGCAATGTGCATTTCAGGAATACAATTTTAGAAAGTATTGTATTTATATTTTATTATTATATTTTATTTTATATTGTATTTAGAAATTGTTGCTATATCAGTATTATTATTGTGTTGAAGTACAAACACTTCATTAACTGATTAAATAAAATAACAATAACAAATTATTAAATACATTTTTATAATAATATAATAATAATAAATAATATATAATAACACTGTGTGTGTGTGTGTGTATATATATATATATATATATATATATATATATATATATATAGTTATTTTTATTTAATATTTATATATTTGTATTTACTAGTAAATGTAATAATATATAATACTGATAAATCATATAATACATACATTGTATAATATATAGCCTACTAATATAATACTGATATGAGGTGCCAAACAGGAAATAATTATATACAAATCTGAATATATAAATGTAAATTGTGAATATATTCTACATTTTCTTTCATATTAAATTCTGTTTTATTTTATATAGAATTACAGAGGTATGTGCATTTACTTGTATAGCACATTTCCCACATGCTGACCGTTTGACTTTAAAAATTAGTTTATAATAAATGTTGTTTTTAATGAATTACACTACAATTTGTGTTTGTTTTAACTACATTTTTCATTCCTGTTCTAAATACCATTAAATCTAAAGGATTTGTTGTGGAGTGAGGAACTAAAAAATATTTATGGTGTTTATGTTTGTATATGATGTTTATAATGTTTTGTTTTGTTTTATTTAATAGCATTTTACATTCTATATAATAAAATGTGACTTACATACTGATGCAACTTATCTGTGTTTTTTTCTCTCAAGAATTACATGTTGACCCGATGCTACTCATAGTCAGGTATGACTTATATATATATA